GACTTTAACTCATTTTTTGATTCAGACTTGGTGGTTTCCATCCCTCTGGCTAGCATCTGGCATCCTAGTTGAGGATGTTTCATAAGTGTGGATGAGAGAGAGTGTATGTGTATGAAAGAGCAAGCAGATATACTTTGTCATCAGTAAATTTGCTGTTATTTTAAATTCACTGGGTCTCCATGTATTCTAAACAACCATGATGGAGCACCTACAGCTTCTGAAGGCAAACGGTTCCATTGGTTAATTGTTCTCACTTTCAGGAAGTTTCTCCTTAATTCCAGATTGAGGGGGGGAGGAGATGGGGGGAGGGTAACCTGCGAAGCTAACCAAAGCCCCCCCTCATAGGAGTTTGCCTTGAAGGACCTGGAGCCAGGCCGATTCTCTCTTAATTGAAGCACTTGAGAGGGAGGGAGGGCAAGCAAGAGAGATGGCTTTATCTTCAGGGTTTCAAAAGAAATGCCAGAGCAAAGAAAAGTTAAGTAGCCTCAGGGAGAAAGGGGGGGGGGGGGGGAGGATTAACAAATAAACATGTTTTCTCAGCATATAAAGTGGAAAAAATGAAAAGGGCCCGTGGTAGTCACATATGAAAATTTGCATACATTGCCCCCATTTTTGTGCCAACACTGTGCAACGCCAAGGGAGATGCCAATTTAGATGAGAGCTGTCTGGCAGCTCTCACCTACAACATGTATCCCACTCCTCCCATACAGATAGGCCTCTGAGACCCCAGTGCCTCAAGAAGAGAGAAAGTTTGTCCCCCAAAAAAACCTGTGGGAAGAAAAATCTGGCCCAGTTCCAAGCCGGGAGAAAGGGACTGGAAGTAAAATGGAGTCTGATTGGAAAGAAGGACTCTGTTTATTGATGAGCAGAACCAACAACAATGTAGTGAGCCTTGTGTCTTTTGCTATTCTAAAGGTGGTGGGTTCATCCTATTATGTCCTAAAGGTCATGTCCTGTTTTTCTTAATCCCTTAATCAACCGGAGCTGAAGATCTTTTGTTTGTGAATAGATTGGCCCAGTCTTTCTTGATGGGTACAAAATATCCATCTCTAAAGACTTCGGGCCAGGGGTGGGATTCTATGGGTTCAGTCAAACTAGTGACTCCAACAATAAGCTGTTGGGCCAACCTACCCACTCCGGCTCTAGTCTGTGCTTTATTTCTGGATTTTCCAGCTCAGATGATTCGTGCAGCACAGCAGATTGCCACGCGTCAGCTGTTTTACAAACAGGGCTTGCATCAGAAGGTGAGTTGCAAATGCTGTGAGTGCAAAGCGCACACTCCTCAAACCAGTTGTTACACCGGTTGAATCTCACCCCTGCTTCAGGCATCTGCTGGAGGCTGTTGGGGCTGCTTTTTACTTTTGTTAAGATTTTTCTCCATTTCTCCTTTAGAGAAATATACTATTCTGCCTCTATTAATACTCCCCAAAATATTTCATTCTCCGGGGGAGGAGACTTCCTACAAAACCTTTGTGGCCAAATAAGAAAACTTTTTTCCTACTCACAAAGACATGGAAAAAAATTTATCATTACACCAACGTGAAAACATTGGCTCAATAAGTAACGATATAATTACTCAAGAAGGCATGTGCCTTTCGTTCTTGGGACCCAGTATTGCTTAATTTAATTCCATTTGTTCGGATTCTTAACTGTTGAGTGAAACATTTACATGAAGGCTATACAGAATATTATTAACATCTATCCTAAATGTTGGACTGTTGCACAATTCAAATAAGTTTAACTTATAACTTGTTTCCAAAGGTTTCATAGATACCGCCCATGCAGTTCAGGTCATGTTAATGGGGAGGAGAGAGAAAACAAGGGAAAGGAGAGAGGTTCTCTCTTATACAGATGA